ATCTATCTATCTATCTATCTATCTATCTATCTATCTATCTATCTATCTATCTATCTATCTATCTATCTATCTATCTATCTATCTATCTATCTATCTATCTATCTATTTTTTGCGCGTGTATTCATTAATTTAGTTTGTATCTATTTATCAATTTATTTATACCAAGAGTTTCTAGGCCGCAACCTATATTCCCTCCCCGTTCAGTCCTCAAAACAGGTGTTCCAAAAATTCGACCGCGAGCGCGCTGCGGCGCAGGCATGTCTGAAGTGATGGCCCACATCTTGAGCCAAAGCGCTGCTGAGTTCAGACTGGGCACCCATAGATGTTGGACAAATTTGCGCGTTTTTGCTGAGATAAGAACAAGACACAAAAGGTTGGGGGCATTCAATTCTCAGCAAGGGTGAAGATGAGAAAAAGGCACAGCACACTTAAAAACAAGTCTTTGTTAGCTGAAGCAGCAAAAGCTGCAAAGTGTTTTACAGGGTGCTCGCAACCAAATTCCTTGTGTTGATGGCACACATTGGCTTTAAAAAGAAAGAAACTGGGTCAGGTTCAGCTACAGCGTTTCAAACCACCAACAAACCACAAGCCCACAATAGGCTCATGGGTGCCTCTCCAGCTCGCTACATATGGCACCTGCAACTGGTTCCGTTTTGCAGGCTGCATGTGTGCCGCAATGTGACCCTCTAAGTGCTTTTTGTGCTTCTGGAGGAAAAACGTTTATGCCTTTGGCTACAATGTGATATCAAGCTAATACTTCAAAGATAATCACATCAAGGTAAGTTCTTTCTCCTTCTCGAGACCCCAAGTATGATTGATGTGTTGCAGCCAAAAACTGCTCAAGCACTCACCTGACCTTTTTTTGCCAGGGCCTCCACCTGCCTCTGCTATCCTGTGGTATCCTCTGGTATCCTCTTGTTGCCCAGTTCCGAACTTCATCCAGTCTTCATCCCCTCTCCAACCTCCGCACTTGGTGCGACGACTCTCGAGGCGAGCCAACTCAGCCCGTTGAGCATGAGAACAGCACCAGCTGGGCACCTAATTCAACGTAGATCTGCTGGAGCCCCTGATAGAGATTGACAATATTATGATGTTTATGATACTGGACTGGATCCCTCAATCACCATGGATGTGTACATGTGCGAGTTGTACATATACGCGCGTGTTTCAGAAAAAATCGAAGTTTGATAAACCCCACGTGCCATCGGCCATGCAAACTGGAACTGGCTACAACAGGCTGATGCAAGGTTTGCACACAACATACAGTACATGCATACTGAACTCAAGCATTCACAGAGCCCAAGGTAACACATCGAAATCAAAAAGTGTTCTCAACAGATTCCAATCAATATATATATATGTGTGTGTGTGTGTGCGTGTGTGCGTGTATGTATATGTGTGAACATATTATATATATATACACAGTATGCGTGTGCGTGTGTATGTATGTTTATCTATTTTTATGTGTATGTATGAATGTATGTGCATGTACGTGCATGTATGTGCATGTATGTGCATGTATGTGCACGTATGTGCATGTATGTGCATGTCCGCGCATGTATGTGCATGTATATGCATGTATGTGCATGCATGTGCATGTATGTGCATGTACGTGCATGTCCGCGCATGTATGTGCATGCATGCATGCAGGTAGCTATGTAGGTATGTAGGTAGGTAGGTAGGTATGTATGTATGTGTGTCTGTAATGTATGAATATATGAATGTATGGATGTATGAATGAATGAATGATTGAATGAATGTATGTATGTATGTGTATGTATGTGTATGTATGTGTATGTATGTGTATGTATGTGTATGTATGTGTATGTATGTGTATGTATGTGTATGTATGTGTAGGTACGTGTATGTGTATGTATGAGTATGTATGAGTATGTATGTGTCTGTATGTGTCTGTATGTGTATGTATGTGTCCGTATGTGTCTGTATGTGTCTGTATGTGTATGTATGTGTATGTATGTGTATGTATGTGTATGTATGTGTATGTATGTGTATGTATGTGCATGTATGTGCATGTATGTGCATGTATGTGTATGTATGTGTATGTATGTGTATGTATGTGTATGTATGTGTATGTATGTGTATGTATGTGTATGTATGTGTATGTATGTGTATGTATGTGTATGTATGTGTATGTATGTGTATGTATGTGTATGTATGGGTATGTATGTGTATGTATGTGTATGTATGTGTATGTATGTGTATGTATGTGTATGTATGTGTATGTATGTGTATGTATGTGTATGTATGTGTATGTATGTATGTATGTATGTGTATGTATGTGTATGTATGTGTATGTATGTGTATGTATGTGTATGTATGTGTATGTATGTGTATGTATGTGTATGTATGTGTATGTATGTGTATGTATGTGTATGTATGTGTATGTATGTGTATGTATGTGTATGTATGTATGTATGTGTATGTATGTGTATGTATGTGTATGTATGTGTATGTATGTGTATGTATGTGTATGTATGTGTATGTATGTATGTGTATGTATGTATGTATGTATGTGTATGTATGTGTATGTATGTGTATGTATGTGTATGTATGTGTATGTATGTGTATGTATGTGTATGTATGTGTATGTATGTGTATGTATGTGTATGTATGTGTATGTATGTATGTATGTATGTATGTATGTATGTATGTATGTATGTATGTATGTATGTATGTATGTATGTATGTATGTATGTATGTATGTATGTATGTATGTGTGTATGTCATGAGTCAGATGTGTGTCTGTGTGTGTGTGTGTCGTATCCATCCTCAAACACCACTTCAATGTAAACAACCATCTCTCAACCGGTTGCGACCATGGTGCAGATTGCCACCTCCGCAGCGCGCACTGCGCCACTGTAAGCTGCGAGGTAGCTGCACAGGCAGCATCGTGTGCCTTCGCAAATGGAGGATCAAAACGCAACGACTGGAATGATTTGAAGATGATTTGTTTGCTTTGTTTTGGTTGGATATATTAATATATGTATATATATATATAGGAACTTAACTTTAATTGTGTAATGTAGTATAATTTCTTGTATTTTTTTATAGTGTAATATAATTTAATGGAAAAAACAAAAATATAAAAATATAAATATATCTTTAAATATTAGAATTTAGTGTGGTATAGCCTAGTGCGTTGGAGTTAGTGAAGTGTAGTTGCTGTTATAATTATAATTGTAGTTATTGTTGTAGTGATAATTATAATTATATATGTAATTAGTGGAGTCTCCACTTCAATGGAGAAATGTGTACTGTACGGCCAGGAGTCTAAGCCCATCTTAGCCCCTTGCCCCCTGTATGGCAGCAGCTTGCTCGGTGTCTTTCTCGGCATTCAGGGCTTCGAACAGGGACATGCCGGTCTGGCACAGAGAGGTTCGTGGCCGGGGTATTGTTGGGTGATGGTGCGGTCAGAGTCTCCGAGGCTATTTGCACATTCGCAAACATGTTCCGAATCTTAACCATATTAACTCATTAACCATACTTAACCGACCTCCTACAGCAGGAAACCATGGGTGGCCGTTGTAGATATTCAATGCTCCGTCTGCCTTGCCACTCCCCAGTGATGCTGGCCTGGTTGGGATCCCAAAAGACATCGCCAAAGGGATCCAGAAAAAGCACCTCAGGACTGTGAGACCTAAGCGGACCTAAGACCTAGGGACCTAAAAGGACCTTAAGCAGTGGCAATCTAACAGAGGTCTAAGGCCATCATCCCCCAGTCCCAGGCAAAACTCAGATCGCACCTGCCGGAAGCGCCGAGGCAGCTGGGCCAGCTTCTCCTCTGCACCACTGGGCCAAGCGATGCGCAACCAGAGCCTGAAATCGGAAAAATTAGCAGGGCCTTGGATTATGTGGGGCATCCACCGAAACTTCATGGAAATCATCCATCATGCAGTTGCATGCTCAAGACTCTCAAGACTCTGAAGAGCCCTGCACTGTTTCAAATTCCACAGTTTGGCATGGATGTTCCAGCAGCATCGGATAAAATAGGTGCTTAGACCAGCTATGGACGATTTTCCTTCTACAAAAGCGGCACTGGCCACAATAACATTTGCATCCACTGATGCATCAAGAGTTGCGTGGTGATTTCAACGACTCAGACGGGAGGCTCCAGCCATATGGCGTGGCAAAGGAAGCTGATGGGCGAGAGTCGGAAGTCCTGACCAAATGTTTCAAAGCTTAGAGGCTTAGAGGACATCAAAGATCTTGAGCTCAACTGCCACTCGTTCTCATGTCTGCAACTGGTCGCCAAATCTAAAATGGATTCACTTTTCTGCAGAACCATAGCAGCAACGCGCTTTCAGAGCACCTTTTTGTCTCTGATTTGTATCAGGTCAGTCATCTTTGGCACTACTGGCGGTGTGACCTTTCTGTTGGAGCGCTCGTTTCATCTCCTCTATCTGCTCTTCTAGCTTCTTCCTCTCCTTGAGGAAGCGGATAAAAAGGAAGAGCCCAAACTATCTCAAGCTAGCAACTGGTAAGAACTCTTGAATATAACAATGATCAATGATGATCAATGATGTAGCACTGAAAAGACCCGAACCAGGGATCCAAAGAAATAGAAAAACTTGCAACCACACTTGGACTTGGCCTGGCATCCTCGTCACCACCCGAGCTGCCCATGCCTCCCATACCGCCAAAGGCAGTGCCCATAAATGGGCCTCCAGGGACACAACAGGGACACAACAATGCCATGCAGTGCCTATCTCCCCATCCCTACCCAGAAGTAACAACAATTCGTACCCTCCTGACGTTGGCCGAATCAACCGTTACCACAAGTTACCACCAACAAACCAACATGCCTTTAGATGATGTCCAAGTGGTACCAGGTTTGTCCATTGTCCACTCACTGCTTGTGATCATTGTCCGGCCTTGGCCATGCTTCAAAGCCTGCTGCTTGTGGAGTTCCTCTGCCTGCTTGTCCAGCCATTGGTCATACTCCACGATGTCCTTGGGCAATCGGAATTTCCTCATGTCCAAAGCCACATCCAGAAACCTCGCCGCATGGCAGTGCTGTGGGCTCGACAAAAGTGCTGTTTGGATCAAACGTACAAGACTTCCCAACCAAATGCAACTTCTGATGCTTTTGTGCAGGTTTTGGCAAGTGCTTCAACTTTATCATAAAAAGCACACAAAATACCTCGCTCCAAGTGCGGAGACGAAACTCAATGCGCTCGTGGGAGTGGAAGTAATCCCAGAATTCGTCACTGGCCAAGGGCCAAAGGACTAAACGCAAGAAACGCACGGTCCAAGAGGGATGAACTACATGGATCGCCTCCCAGCAATGCAAAGCAAATGTGGCTTGTCATTTTTGTCATGAAGTTGTTATGTTCTTCCCAGGTGCGCCAGCTAATTATTGGACACCGACAATACCCTTTCTGAAATAGAATGTACTGGCATGTACACATGTACCAGCTATATATCACGGGTTGATGTGCTCCATTCCCGTCTCAGTGAGCTGCCTCCAGGTTCTTTGCGTATTTTTCATGAAGGCTTTCGGAAAATCTCCATGCCATCCATGGCCCAACGCGATGGTCACTCTGCTGCACCCAGACCACCGCGAAGCGGGTATCCTCTCCACAAACTTTTGTCAGACTGTTGTGAGCCCATCCATCCATCTACCTATCTAGTCTATACTAGTATGTAATAAGCCTCAGGACTTTGACACACAATTACAAGCACGCCAAAGAGTCAAGGGGTCCTCCTCTGCAACCACCTTGTGCATTTTTGAGAGCGCAAAGCCCAGAAGTTCTCTCATGTTGATTTGGTAGTCTGTTTCACCTTGGGGACCTCTGGGCGCCAAAACAAAGACTCGAGAGCCTTGCTTGGTCCTTAGGTGCTAATGAGAAGAATAGCTTCATAAATTTAGGGGGCGCAGTGGGAGCAACTGGAAGTGTTGACTCAGATCTGACTCCTCTGTTTTTGTGACCAACACACAGCGAGGCCAAGGCTCTTTACATCGCTCCACCATGCTAGGCGATCGTACCAGTCCTCCTGTTTCCTCTGGGGCACTTGCTGGCCCAACGCCACATATTCGTTGTAGCGAACTAAAGCCTTGGTTGCCCAAGACCTGTTGGGCAAAAAAAGACCCAGGTCAAAGAATTTGAAATACTTCAACCCGAAGAAAAATACAATCCCCAAATATCGCCAACTAAACTATACTGCAAATATATCTTGTCTAATGGTTATGTAAGTAGGTGTATATATAGAGAGAGAGAGTGTGTGTGTGTGTGTGCAAATGTCTGCCTGGTCTCTCGTGTAATATATGTAATCCTCGTTGATTATGCAATTCATGCTAATTTGTGTTAGCAGCTCGTTCCTTCTCCTCCTCCACGGTTTTGCATCGCCTTTGGCAGGTCAAGAGCCGCAGGAATCCCGCGATGCGACTGAGCGCCGTGGGCTTTGGCTCGGGGCTCTTCAGCGGCTCCGACAGCTTCTCGCCGGTCTCAGACATCGTCACCATGGCCAGGCAACCCGGAAACCGGGAGCACAAAAGAACTGAACTGTTTGAATTGAAGGCTGCACATGCACCGTGTGGCAAGTCAATAGTCAAGGGCTAATGCAGGAACATGTCCACCATGCCCACCGGGGCAAACGATCGGCGACCAAGATCTCGCAACCAGCCTATCTCACCTTCAAACTACTGCAGCTTCAAGTAACAAATGTAACAACTACAGTACTCCTTCCAGCCACCAGTGTCTGCCAGTGTCCTGATGTGGCAGCAGCTTCCCTTGCTCGTCGCGCGGGCTGAGACTCACCTCCAAGGCCGTCGCCAAGGACGGAAGAATGCCTCGGAAGGCCCGCAAAAGCAGCCGCAATCCTATCCCTACCTCCTACACGTGCAGAACAAAACGCAGGCTCTGCGGGTCGCATCAGGGTGTGCCTTTAGAAGACGTCTGGTTTTTGCAATAACCAAACCAATCACACTATGAAATCTGCCCGCGCCGAAGGTGCTGAGGCGTTCTTGTGCACCCGCATTAATATTAATTAATCAGAAGCAATTGCAATTTCAATAGCTATTAAGCTTTGGTCTTGGCTGGTGGGAATTTGGGGGGCCCTTTATTGCTCGAGAATCTTGTGTTTTTCGACTTTTTTGAAAAGGCCAAAAAGCGGGTGAGTTGCCAAACTTGGGCTCTACATGCTGAAAATGGGCCCAACATGGGCCCAACATAGGCCCAACATAACATGAGCCCGACATAGGCCCAACATGGCCCAACATGCCTCACCATGGGCCCAGAATAGGTCCAACATGGGCCAACATAGGCCCAACACAGGGCCGACATAGAGTCAACATCGACCAAACATGCTCCCAACATGAGCCCTGCCTACACAGGCCCAACATAGAACACATATGGTGTTATTGGAACTCCAGAGCTAACACTACGGTGCGGGCGGTTGTTGTCGCGAAGCGACCAGCATATGGAGGATTCGGTGGCTTTGCCCAAATTTAATAGATTTTCTCTGCAACGGTTGCTTCAGGTCTTGGACTCGCCTTTCTTGTGGGACAGCAAAACCACTGACCGTCCTGACCGATTTTTTGATGGTGAGAGAGAATTACTCATCCAGCACATAGAAGCCGGACATCTTCAAAGGTGAGCAAAAAATAGAGGAGACGACCCACTCTATTGTCCAAATGTGCACAAGCACATTCGCAGGCTTGCAAGAGTCCATCGCAGCAGCACAAAAAGAAATGCAAAACACATCCTGATCCCAGCCAAATGTGTCTGCTACGCTGCTACATTCCTTCACACCTTCACACGCAGGCCGTGGGATCCTGCCGGGCCCACCGTGCCATGTGCAACCCAAGTGGCTCACAATCTGAACTGTAATGATCTCTCGATGCTGCAACCCAGCAAGATCCAGAAATGCCACAAAAATCGTGGCAGCTTGGAAGAGTACCTGGGAAAATTATGCGGCCACACAATTTCACATGACTTCAGCTTTGCTAGCGCAATCCAGCACCCTCTTGAAAACTTCAAGGCAAGTAGCCCGAAGAACACAGCAACATTCCGCAGGTTCAAAATGAAATGCATTCACCCTGCTCAAATACTCCCAGAGGATTGATATCAAAACATATCAAACATGATAACATACTATATAAGTCATGCTAGGTCTTGAACTTAGAGTCTCTTGCAGATACAATCCCTGCAGCAAAACGTAGCTGCACCAAGGCACCACCAACGCAAAGCCCAATGTGGGCGTTCGGTTCTCAACAATGGCGTGGCAAATGCAGTAGTACGTCAGCGCCTGCAAAATGTGATTCCTCAGTTGCCAAAAACACTCTGCAGCTGTCAAGTCTGGTAGGACAACGCCCTTTGACAGTGAAATTGCGTCCAAACTTGATCCAGCTAAATATGCTCCCTCCGGATTGCCTGCACACTAGATCTCAGCCGCAATTCGAACATTAATTAAGAACCGCGACTCAGTTTGCAGCCAAAGGGGCAATCCTAAGCCCAGACAAACACGGCAATAGGCATCGTAGCACTGCCATTTGAACTGTAGCTGTCCTTAGTCAAGCTGGCATTGAACAAATGTGCTAAGTTTGCTATCGGATGCCTTTACCATTCCAGAATAAATTTTGCCATGTCTTTGCACATAACATCTGCATCATTCTTGCAAAGTTCGAGACGTGACATCACAAGGAACGAAAGCCGTTAGTAGGGAGGTAAGCGGTCTTTTTCCGCGCAAGGCGAGAGATTCACGGCTGCAGTGCGAATTCACGTTATGTGTCCGCCATCCTACCCATCTTTTCGGAGGGGTAAATCTTCCAGCATGGATGCTTCTCAAAATCCAAATCCCCCAAAATGTCCCCTAAACCATTAGTTTTGCCAAAAAAAAAAGTTTGTCCCCAGATAGCGAAGCTATTGGGGTTCTTACTATTTTGGAGCTGGGGTGTTGGGGCCTGATGGATACGCCGCATCAAAAACGGAGAATGTTTGGTTGCTGCCCCCAAAAAAAAAACTTTTGCTATCTGGGATCTATGCTATGCAATGCTGGCGTAATTTGTAGCGAGGGGCATCATATTTATATTCTATTTTATATGTGTGTGTGCGTTTTTGTTTATATTTATATTTATATATAATTTATAATATATTGAGAACTACCCCATGTCAGTTCTGGGGCTTTACATCTGCATGAGGCGCGCAACGAGGTGTGGGATGAAGTGTGGACTCAAGGCTTGACAGGGTAGATGCCTCAGGACCTGAGTATCATGAGCAAAGTGCTGGGAATTGGAGGGTTTCCTGAGGTGCTAGTCATCGTCAAGGAATTGTGCACACCTGCGCACGAAGAATAGATAATTCAATACTATTTCTGCTGATTTGCTGCTGTTGATTGATCAGTTTGCCTATTCGAAGTAGATGATTCCCTGTCGGGCCCATGCTGTTCTAAGCTGATTGCGGACCATGTGGGCGTCTTTGTTGGGCGAATGCTAGGCAATATCTGGGCAATGTCGGGTCTTCTTGGTGGCATCTTGATGGTTTCGAAAGGTCACTGAAGCCGATCTGAAGCCTTCTTAACTGCTGCGGAATTGTCACGATGCTGATGTACATTTTGATATATTTTGATAACATTTTGATGACGGTTTAAGGGCTGAAATGCACGGTTCTTGGGGTGAACGTGGGGTAAGCTTATGGCATACTTATGGCAAACTTGGGATAACTTGGGCCCATCTTGGCGCATGTTGGATCTAAGTTGGGGCTATACGCCGGGCTATACAGTCTGTTCGTGAAGCATGTGGGTGCCTTTGTTGGGCGATATTAGGTGTTCTTGGTGGTGTCTTGGGGGTCTTGATAGGTCACTGAAACCCAATGGATATAGATTTGGAATTGCAATGCTTGCTTCGCACCTTGGGAGAGGGTCTTCTCAGTAGTGCCCTTTTGAAGTTGATATCAGTTGCGGTTGAACCGTTGGTGTCAGCATGGTGCTTTGTCCTTCCACATTTCCATGAGATCAATTTGCCAATAATGATGCTTATCCAAGTGTCATAGATGTATTCAGTCTAAAGTTTCTACAGATTGGATGGTGCAAGGGTTTTGTTGGAGCGAAGTTCCGCATAGAAAGTCATGGTTGTTTGGTTTAACCATTTTTGCATCTCAATGGCTTGAGGTGAAATAGCTTACCATATCTATTGCCTGAGCCTCTCCTCATTGGGTTGTTTTTACAGAAACCATGGGTTGCATCTCCAAATTTAGGAAGTTCCATGAAGTTCCCACAGTCTCTTGCAATTACGTAAGTTTGTTACAGTTTGTACCACTTTTGCCTGCTCTGCCCCCCGGACCCCTAAACTCGCTTCGCTCGCAGTAGGAACTTCAGCCAGGCCTATTGGCTAACTTTCGTGCAGAAAACATGATGGAGGTAGGGGATGAAATCACTTAGTTGCAATCCAGCTATAGGGGGTGCTGAATGCGGGGTAACAAGCGCACGTGAGATGAGATAGCAATATGGCAAGCACGTTGCACGCATGAGGCATAAGACATTTATATATAGAAGTATGATGTGTGTGTGTGTGTGTGTCTGTGTCTGTGTGTGTGTGTGTGCCCGTGCAAAACAAAAATGAATGCAAATATCCTGGTGTGTTGCTATATTGCACACTGGTTCACCTCAGGGCCTTTGGGCCATGTTGGAGTTACGCGGGAGCTACAGTTGGGTTTATGTTGAGCTATATATACAGGTTGGTTCATGTTGGGCTCTTGTTGGCACAAAAACTGGGAGTTTGGGTCTCAATTGAAGTGAGCCTACAGTTCTGGGGTCATGTTGGGGCCATGTTGGGGCTATTGGGGCCATGTTGGGGCTATGTTAGGCCTGCGCGGAATAAGTTGTTGGGTGTATATGAAGTTATATTGGTCCAAGTTGGGCTCTTGCTGGTCCAAAATGGGAGCTCCTTGGAGCTTTCATTTAAGAGCCCCGAGGAGCCCACAATACCTTCCTGCCCCCCGATGCTAATCATACCGGGCTAGACTCCTCGACAAAACCCTGCCCGTAACCTGTTATTGCGTATCTCTCGTGAACCTCCTTCCCAGCGCCGTGCTGTGGAATGTCTTCCCACTAGATCTTCGCTCTAAGTTGTCACAATCTAGTTCCCTCCAAACCCCCTTAAACTACCCCGCAGAGGAAGTTCAACACACGCCCCTCTGGTGCACCTTCCTTTCCCACTAGACCTTCCCTCTCTGTTATCACCATCGGGGTCTCTCATTCTCCATACCTGTTTTCAAGCCGCTTCCTTCTTACGCTTGCCTATCTTCCCATATCTTCCATCTCTTTTGCAGCCATCTGGTCTCCTCCCAACCCCCTTTACCTACGGACCAGCAGGAAATCGAACCCCACCAAAGAAACACCACCCACGCGACCGTTTTTGGTCTCTCTGGCCCGACCTGCCCCATTCGCTCGCAGCAAGAGCTCAGCCAGGCCTACCGGTTGGCTTTCGTAATAAGAGCCAGTGAGGGTGCATTATTGGCGCCAGCAAGAAACACACAAGTCACAAGTGTAAATTGTAAACAAGATTGCGGTTTTATGCTTGTTTGTAGCTGCCTCACCGGCACAAGCATTCTCATGGCTCCGCTGTTGGTCATTTACTACTTTACCCACATTGACCCCAACGAAATCTAGGCATTTCTAGGCCACAAGTCGTTGTGTCCCAGTCCATTGCCAAGGTTCGAAAAAGCTGGACATGGCGCTCTGGCATGGCGCCACGACTGCTGCTCAGCAAATCTTCAAAGGGCTGCGTTTCCTGTGACAGGACAACAGAGAAAAAATGAGGAAACTACACCCGCATGCATGGCCCTCAGTTGATAATAGTTCTTACATGGTCCTTGAATATTGTCATCTCCTCCCACAGTTTGGTGGCGATTGAAGCTTCTGAACAACATAGACATATTCAAAACCTAAAACTTATCATGTATATTATAAACGTATAAAATGTACTACCTCTGGATAACTCAAGCAGGAACAGGCATCTTCCACACATCTGCAGACACCAAGACTCCTTTGCGTCCAAAAGCATCGTAGAAGTAGCACCTGCACATGTGTCACTCTTCATTTTGTTTAAGCAGAACTTTCTAGGGAAGTCCATCAAGCGGTTCAGCTAAATTCGATGGGCCAGAGCCGAATCATCGAAGCTGACTCAATAGCTCTCAATAGCAAGACTAAACGGCTAAACTCATGGCTTCCTATAGAACCATTGAACAACAGAGTCGCCCTTCAGGCCTTGCACATCTCAGGGCATCCGAAAAAAATGAACATGGATCGAAATACGATGAAATATGATAAAATACGTTCAAGCGCCCGCGCCCCTGTTGGGAAACCTTGAAAGGTTCTTGCAGCTGAACTGCTGGTACTCTATGTTAAATCTCGCTTGCGTATCGATTTTGGCTTTGACAGGATAATCCATGAAAAGTGGACCAAGGTCTCTAATGATAGGGTTCTTGACAACCCAGGCTGTTTGATTCTCCGCGGCATGTATTGCAGTTGGATCACGCTGAAAGTGGACTATCGGACTATCCGTCAAACATGTCCGAGCAAAACCCTCACCTGCATCTGCAGCGCATGCCGCTCTCAAGTCAGAAGCCTGCACACAAGACAGCAATGGACAGCATGACTGGCATGACTTGAGAGTTGCTTCCGCAATGGTTGGTTTCAGCCATTGACGGATTGAAGCTCAAAGCCATGCGCCTGCGCAGTGCTTGTTGTCCCATTCACTCGGCTGGCAGAGCTGGCGCTGGCTGTGCCTGCACTTGGATCAGGACTTTCTACTGACATCAAATGTTTGCCGGAATAAATCTCCACTTGACTCTACTTCCTTAAAGCTCGAGGACACTCTCTGATATTCCAGACCCTATGTAACATCGAAAGAGTTCCCCTCGCCCTTTAACTCGAGAAGTCAACATAGTGTCAGGGGACCTACCCCTCTCTGCAAGAGCACTGGCTTGAGAATTCCTCACCCCTGAACCATATGTGCCATGGTCAAAACATGGTATATGGGCCATGGTCATCCCATCATCAATATGGATTTCCTACAAGATTAGATAGTAACCCCAATTAATCGGGGGATTGACAATAAACCAGATTTTCACCATGGCACATCTCGTTCTATCCCGTATTTACCAAATCAAACGCGCTGGGATCAGAGGTGGATGGCCCCGACTTTCAGAAACTACGATCGAAGATGGTCGCGGACCCGCCTGCATCCATGGCAACTGTTGGCGGCCCTGTCGCCTTGGACATCTGAAACCGTGTCCGAGAATGCGCAGCAAAGCTTTGGTTCAAAGGGACCAAAACACTGCAATCCAACAAATACGGGCTCGCCTCTTCCAAACACTGGGACATACTCCGTCGATAATATAGGCATCACACAAATGTCTCGACGCAAGGTGCTGAAAGTTTCCTCTAAGCCCATGGCTCCTTCGCCGCCTCGCACGGCCTCCCACTCCTGCACAAAGGTGTGGGGGGGGGGCACAGCATGGGGTAGCAATTTCCAAAGGCAAAGAAAGTTTGCAAAATTGCAGATCTGCGTGCAGAGAGAGCATGGGAAGAATACAAGAGAACGGTGAGAACAAAATGTATGAAAGCAGTTTCTGGCAGTTTCTAGCAGGCACATGAGCTCACATGCTTCACATGCATCTGCACGGCTCCTGATGATCCTGGAAAGGCATCCGTAGCATATTCCCGACGCCCTGCTTCTCAAAGTCAATGAGCTTCGCCTTACACGGCATCTTGTCATTCGTGTCCAAAGCCCCAAGGCCCCAAAGATGAAAGCGAGTCTCTCGCTGTACGGATGTTAGCAAGACAGGTTCCAGATTATTCTTGGACAAAGGGACTCTGAAAATTGAGTTTGCTTCGAGATGGGCTGCAAGCACAACCAAAACACACCAACAATGCACTTGACCTGCATATGTTTGATTTTGGCATTGTACAGTATTATTTGGGTGCGTAATCAAGCCCGCGTCTCTGTTCTGTGCGGGGCATGTCTTCGAAATGGGCATGGCCAACAAAATCAGAAAACATCGTTATTTCATGTCATCTCACCTTTCAAACGCTTCGCGCCTGCAAGAGCGTGAGCTGCTTCTGCGTCGGGATAGGCAGCCGCACGAAACGTGTCAACCTCAGAAAGTTCTGTGACATGGAAATGGTTTCTCTAGGAGTTGCCAGGCAAGGCCCGGGTAGTTGTGATGATGTGTAGGTCTGATGACATCTGATGGTCTGCAACCATGAAAAGATGGAAAACTGTGCGGACTGTGGCAGAGCTTTGCCACTGAAGAACGACTTGCGTATTTCATGTGAACCAAATTCCGCTTAGGAGGAAACCATCCAACTTCATTTCACTGCTACCCCCGGCTACTGGGCTGCCCGACATCTTCACCCCAAAGCTGTGTGACGCGATGGATGCATGCATACTCAGCCAGACTGCCAGTAGCAGGTACCTTGCAACAGTGGAGAGTCAGTGAAGAATGACCTTCCGTCCGGAAATCGATTGGATGCATGTTGCTGTCATTCTCATCATGATTGCTTGTGGAAAGACAAATCGTTTTGTTCAAGTGCGCTAACTCTGTCCGGCTCCCCGGTGAGCTTTTCAACATACTGCCTGCTGATCATGAGGAAGGCAAAACATTTGGAGCAATGATCAGAACCGTTTACGACAGATCTTTAAGCATGTCTGGTTCCAAAATCCACCTCTGAGGTTGTGAAACCATATGCATGAAGTCTCCCATGAATGTTGCACTTCGAGCGACATGAAAGCACATGCATTGGAGAGCTGAAAGAGCTGCAAAACAAAGGGCGGAGCCTTACATCAATGAAGGAATTAAAGTATATAAAAGTAAGAAACACCATGCAAATCATGCCAATGCTTCCGGCAGCCTTGCTTTGCCTTGCTTTGCAGGCATCAAAACTGACAGAGTCGCTGATGTCGTTGCAGCTCAAGTGGCTGATGCTTGGATCCTCCCCTTGCAGAAAACGATGATACCTGGGCTATGCCGAAGTGATGTTGTGCCGGAACGGCCGGACATACCCATCATTGTCCAAACCTTGCTCCTTACCAATTACAATTGCAGGAAATTCGGACGACCTGAAACAGGGCAGGACCTTCTGAGATGTTCAGGAAGCTTCACTGACTTCATTGCAACCAAGGTGCAAAACTTCATGAACAGTGCTCCGATCAAATGGTACACATCCATTCCTGGGTGGCTTGTTTCTCTATGTCTCTTTTGTCACGCTATGTTGGGCAACACTCTGTGATCTCATGCTTGAAGTTGCGCATGGAAATGGCTGCAGCTTTGGGCAGCCATACGAGGCTGTAACGACTGAAGTGACTGTAGTGATGTTTATATGGAAAATCATGCCAGGCCATTTAATTCTGCCGAGCCCTGCTGTCAATGCATGCAGGGCTCTGTCCACAGTGAGGGTGACAAGGTCCCGAACATCGTCGCGGAAGAGCGCAAACCGCTTCAACTGCATATCTAAGCGCAATGTTTCTCCTCAAGTCGAAGGAAGCGTTGCTTAGAGGGAAGGGACACTGTGGGATGTTGCCGCTGCGGAGGCCTGCAAGCCAAGCAGCTCAACAGCGTCTGCTGCTTGTCAAACTTGAAGTTTTCACGATTATAGCCTTGCAAGTGCAACTTGTAACACTCAGCGCAGGTAGTGTGGTAGGCAGTGTGGTAGGAACCATTGGTTAAAACTTACGAGGGGACATGAAGAAAAGCCAGGAGTGAGATTGTGAGTCTTCAATGCTAAGCTGCTGAAGAGCGCTGTGGCTCCCAAAGCAGCTCCAATTAACGCCATGACGACCACAGCTTCGCTTCTGTGCAAGGCAGAAAGGCTCTTGGAAGCCAATGGTCTGTTCGACCAGGACCGAAAGCAATATAACCTTAATGAAAAGGGACCCTTGAGGTATGAGTGTAAACAGTATGACTTGGCTGTTGCATTGCGTTGCATTGCCCTACCCTTCCTGGTGGTGAATGCGTAGCGCGTCTTGTTAGTGGCTGCCACAACATGTTCGTGAGGTGTCTTTTCTGTGGCTGCGAGTTAAAACCTGCCACCAGAAGAAATGGATAGGTAACCACGGTAGTCACTAATCATTAATACTGTAATTGTTACTATCATTATCTATCACTCTATAATCACTCTATCTCTCTCTCTCTCTCTATCGCTGGGAGTCGCTGTTCATTCTTACCAAGGCTTGAGACATGCCCCCCATTCGGTCGCTTTGATTGTTTCAAGGCGGCTTTGCACCTCCTTGGCAGCTAAAGCCTGAATTGCGCATATCATCCATTTATATCATTAAAACTGCACACGCAATGTGCAAAAAAACCATCGAAAGGCAAAACCTCCAATTTGGGATAGATATGGATCGATATCTATGCTGTTTCCGAAGCTCCTTTTTCTGTCATGTTCCTCGACGAGAGGTTGTTTATGTGCTGTTCCGCTGTTGCTGTGAACGTGGCGGCCAAGAGTTCTATAGCGTCTCTTCACAAGGATATAAATGGACACGGCGAGGAGAAAATCTGAGTGCACCTTGATGTTGCTGTGGGTTCACTAGTCACCGTGTTCTTCCCTGAGAATAAACAATTGACCTGCGTCTCCAGACTTCCAAATCACCTGTGCGGCCTGTTCTTGCTGGGCAGTTTAAGAATCAGGCTTGAACATTTCTTGGGTACTCGTCATGCATGGTTTGCCCTTTTCATGACATGTATCATGTATCATTTCCAGCAGGCCATGAATTTGGAAGCCTGGATCTATCGCAAAGTCTGGCCCTTGTCCAGTTACTTCACACCCTTTGATGCTCAAATCTGGAAGCCTGCAGGTGGGTCAAACTTGCATCCCAGTTCAGAGAGCTTCTTGTGGGCAGAGGCATAATCCTGGAAGAAGGCCGCCTGAAGAAAAGCTTGCAAACAATGACAGAAGAACCACGGCCAACACCCCAGAGATACTTAGACGGATTTTTCACTGCCAAAAGCATGGGTGGCTGCAAAAGTTGTTGTTCTTGGGTTTTGGATTCCTCTTTGACTGTGGCAAGATACTGTTGAAGGCATTTGATGCATGCTAATCCAACGCAAGACAATCACTGCTGGGATATTATTTTTTTGGCGCAAGTTTTTTGGCCACCAAAGTGGGAACTAAAATCCAAACCTACTGGGCAACCAAGCACCTGCCTGGTCTCCTGCATACTTGTAGAAGAACTTCTTGAACTCTGGGTCCTCGTGAAGGCACGCATCAGTTGGCAACCACATCAGATCGTCGTCGTCCATGGCCTGCTTATAGTCAGTGTAGTAGCCTAGGTAGAGGCGACCCAGCAACTGGTGGACAGATTCTGTTGCACTTGGGTAAGTCTTCTGCAGTCTGAACGCGTCAGATTTTGCAAACTCATACTGTACCAAATATATCTAAATATTCCTAAATCATATGGCACTCAAATCTCTCAATAATCTCAATCTTAGAATTAGAATTGATGTCCCAGTCGCTGTTGTCGAAGGTCAGCCAGTTCTTCGTCCACGCGGCACCGCCAACCATTCCACAGCCTGACTTCTTGTCCTTGCGCACGATGCAGCTGCCCTGGCCACCCAAACGCGCAACTGGATCTCTGAAATGCGCGCGTTATTTCATGTATTTTCATGTGCATGTTTCATCATGTTTCATCATGTTTCTATCTCAGGCTCGTCCATCTCAGGGGTCAATATGTCACAGTTGTTCACCCAGCCTTGGTGTACTTGGAGGCTGCCTGTTCACCGTATCCAAAGGGGCAGGCTCCGCTGCGTTCCTTGAAGACACGGCCGATTGTGTGCGCACCACTCAGGGCCACAATATCTTGATCCGTAAAGCCCATCTTCTTGCCGAAGACGTTGCGCAAGTGTTCCTCTCGCAGGAAACACAGCAACACACCACTATACAATACCATATGGACCACACACACACACACATGTATACATATATATATATACACATACATATTACAGCACCAGTCCCCCTGTGTTTTTCCAACCAAGTTTGAGTTCACAGCTTTCTACAGAAGCCGAAGATGATCTACGTATATCATGTGATATCATGCGCATCCAAATCTGAAGCTGGACACAGATCCTCTTAGATCTCTGGCATCCAAAATGCTTCGGTCTCCTCCGGGGTCTTTGCACCACAACCAAAGGTCCCATCAGCTCCAGGAGCCGCATCTGGGAGCCCAGCGTTGCCCTTGAAGCCCTGGCGGCTCTGGGGGCCAGCACACTGCTCAGGCCCAGTCACCGACACACGGCCGTACCTGTGACAGTGGGCCAAAACGGACAAAACGGGCGAAACCAGCAAACATCTGGGCAACATATGGCAATATCTTTGGCAATATCCCGATGATGGAAACAAACATCTTCAACTTCCCATCCCTTTCCACTCTCTGAAGAGAACTTGGGGCAGGGGAGTTCTTGCCAAAATATGGATAGCAGATGGTAGCAACAAAAGGATGGTAGCAACAAAAGGGCGAAGAAAAAACTTAAGCAAATCCGCAGGACTTCATCTTGATCACAGGTCCGCCGGCCATCTCAATCGCAGTCGCAGAGGCCAACTGGATGAGATCAGCCCAGGAGACGGTGGGATGTGCCTCCAGGCCAAGAACGTTAAACCCAATCCCGGCAGGACGCTTGGACGCCAAAGTATTTTGCAACCATTCTTATCAAACATGGAGCGTCGAGCTGCCCACAACCAAGTGTTTGTATGCTCTATGCACCTTGAATATTCTTGGATCGAATGTGTGTGTGTGCGTGCGTGCGTGCGTGCGTGCGTGCGTGCGTGGGTGCGTGGGTGCGTGGGTGCGTGGGTGCGTGCGTGCGTGCGTGCGTGCGTGGGTGCGTGGGTGCGTGGGTGCGTGGTGGCGTGTGGTGGGTGTGGGTGTGTGGGTGTGTGGGTGTGTGGGTGTGTGTGTGTGTGTGTCTGGGTGTGTGTGGGTGTGTGTGGGTGTGTGTGTGTGTACCATCTGAACAGATGTAAAACTTCTGATTGGTTTTCACTAATTTGCAGGGGGGCAGTGAATCTCATTCCATCCACTGCCCAACGAAGACGGTGGTTTGAGATTGTGATATCGGGACTGATCATCCCGACGTACCTGCGCTTGTATTTTTCCGACATAGCAAGGGGCCAAGCTAAGAACCCCAACCACAATATTATACAATCTGCTGCACTGTTGTCGCAATCTGGAATCAATTTTGAAATTTACATGCATCAGAACCTTCCTCAGATTTTCGCCGAAACCATATCGCCGACAGTATTATGTTTTTGACTTATTTTCGCCGAGATCCTGTCGCCGACGAACTATGGGTTATTTTGGGAAACAATCGCCGAAACATTATTTTGGATTTCAACATGCTGGTCAAAACTCTATGGAATCTGGTTATGACTACGTTTGACAATTTCGGATGCCCTACATCGTTTGCGAGAAGTACCTCATGTGGCTCTTTTATTCATCAAATAATCTAGGCTGGTTTGCATGTTTCAGGATTCAGTTCCTGCCGGATCATATAATGATCCATTCTTGTCTAGTGTGATTTCCATGGTGGCTCCGACATGGTGCCATGGAGCCAATTGAGGCAACCCTTTTCAGGGTGAGTGATGACTGTCCGGACTACCGAATTTACGAATTTTAAGTTGGTAATTCATCTAAGTAAACTGCAACAGCCGGCCATACTGTTTTTCCTGCCTTTTGAGTTTGTCCCGCTGATCTTGCGGTCCCAGGGATTCCTCGCCGATGCGTTTCTTCAACTGTGCAGCCGTTCTGAATTGCCAGAAACCTCCGTTTTTGCAGCAACTTTTGCAGCGTCATATTGCATTATTTCACGACCTATGATCAGGCAGGCACACGACTTTCAGGTGTGGTATTCTTTCCTTTTGGTTCTCTGGTGAGGTGAAACATATTGTGCATCTAATTCGTTGGAACTTGAAAGCTGTTTTATGCCATTGCGGCACGACTTGACCACGGTCCCGGTGCAGGGAATAATCGCACGATTTTGTAGGCAGTTAGGGACTGAATCCTGTATGTGAAACTTTTTACAATTGTCCACTTTTGTTTTGACCTACTGAAGCGATGCATCCGTGGAACACTCCAACATCATGGCCTGCTCCACCACAGCCTTCGAACCCATCTTCGACGTGGCCGCAATCGACACCGAGTGCACATTTATTTGGACATCCCTCGGCTTTGCATCCTACATGGTCATCCTCCGCTTCGCTCATGCCGTCTACATCCGCCCCAACATCGTTGCCGTTCACCTCATTGACTTCGGCTCCTCATGCAGTACCAGGTCCACAACTTGTACCCACCATGCCTTCACCTTTGGCTCCTGAACCAACTATGGTACACACCGCTCCGTCGACTTTTCCATCTCCTATGGCACCTACCGCTCCACCCGCGTGGCCTTCCACTTCGGCTCCATCCCCTACATCGACTACACCACCTACATCGACTATGACACCGACTCCTTTGCCCAGTTCTCCATACCCACCTCACCACATTCAACCTCCATTACAGATGGACGCATCGACGATCCCTCCAAATGAGCCTTCACCACGGCCCCCAGCAGTCAAAGCAGCTCCCAGGCATCGCTCTGACAAAAGACCGGATCGACCGCGCAGACCAGCTCCGAAAACCCCTCCTCACGCTACACCATCGACACCTAAGACAGCACCGACTTCATCCGTGCCACCTGAACTTGCATCCCTGGGTTCCACCGCACAACAACTGGCCGAATCTGTTCGACTTATCCAAGCTCAGCAACTATTACTCATGGATTCTCAACGGGCACAAGAACAACGTCAACTCCTTCTTCAACAAGATGAACATCCACCGAATCCTACACCACAGATACCGCCACCTACACCTACACCACCACTGATCGCCACGCCTCCACCTGCACCAAAGGCCAGACCCACCGAACCGGACGTTCAGGACCATCGCATTGTCCCAGCTCCAACCATCGCTCCTCCTCACCAACCACACGGTCCACCACCACCAACACGCCGACCACGATCCCGAACTCCAAGATCACGTTCCCATCGACCTTCTGTACATTCCTATCGCCTTCGCCATTCTCCTCCACGTACAGAGCGACCTCGTTCTCCTCTCCCTCGTCATCGATCATCTACGAAACCCGACAAGAGCCGCAGAACACCATCTCCATACAGACGACGCTCACCACCACGACGCCGCTCTCCTGTGGTCCCTCGACGTCACCGCTCCCATCCACGCCCACGCTCCGCGACACCACGTCACCGATCCCGAGGCCGTGAAGTCATACTTCGACCTGCTGCAAACCCATCCAATCCGAACTACATTCCTACTCCTGATGCTGATGACACCTGGGGTACATGGAACGAAAGCCACTACAACGACGCCTACGACCACCACACTGCTCGACCCAATTCTCCTACTGATCCACCACCATCGGAACCACAAACCAACCCACCAACCCACACTTCAGCACCACTCGGCGCGGTGTCCTTCCGAGTTCCGGACGGCGACAGTGAAAATTCTGAGGTTGCTGATACCATTTCGCTCACCAAGTTTGACACGAATGACATCGACCTCGATGAAATGGTGGCGGCGGCCAATGACCCCCATAGAGTTCGATGCCTGACCGAGCTTGGCCCCGATCATGTTGTTCCTCTACGCCAATCATTGACCCCGGCTATCTTGCAGCTATTCAACCAGTTTGTGGACGCGATGTTCGAACAGTTGGCTAAACCATACCGCACCGTCAACAACCATCGTATTTGGATCAAAGCCAGCCAAGCCACCGTCAGGAATATTGCCAGGGCCTTTGCACAATCCGACTTACTGGACATCGAACTTGCAAAGCAAACACAAGCCTTCTATATTGAGCCAGAGAACTTGCTGACCATCACGGTTCCCACAGGATTGAAGAAGAAACCAATCTACCGTGGCGAACACATGGGCACCTACCTGATCTACCACAAGACAAGTTGGGAATCAGTTGCCAAAATTCTTGCTGAAGACTGCATCCGCCCGGCAACTTGGACAAAAACCGAAGCCGGTATACCGACCCAATACCCGTGTTACGGGTTCTTCGGAATGTCCTCTGAGATCGCAGACACCGACAACCTACCCGGCTATGCTGTCAGGATTTGTACCTCTCAGCTTTACAAAATAGGCAAAGGACAAAACCCATCAGGCCTGCTGGCCATATGCCGCTCACCCAAATGCATCCGTGCCCTAGCTGGAGGAAATGACCAAATCCAACGCTTGTGCAACCTTGCGGGCATCGCCAAGGGCAAAGACAATGCAACGGCTATGAACTCAAGCGCTGCATCTATATGCTACGTCGCCTCCACTCACCAGGTTTTCCCGGGCTTGATCACACACCAGACTGCGGAGACCAATGCACCTTCGGAACCTCCTGATGATTCTGCACGTCCAGTACGACCTGACCCTTCTGCCGACGCCCCAGAACCTTCGGAGCCGGCCCCGGACGACTCTCACAATACACCGAGCCGCCGCGAGACTGCTACCCCTGGCTCCCGGGACTATGCTCGCCGATCTTGGCATGACAATGCTGCTTGGGACAATTCCACCTACAGCCGCCGAGATCGCCGATCCTCATATTACGACGACCATTCTCGCGACCAGCACCATGAAGGCCGACCTCGTTCTCGACATTCGACCCACCACTCCAAATCTCGTTGGTGAATTCTTTACCCTTGAGGAGTACCAGAACAAGTATCGACCATTCTACGTCGGCGATCCAGTGAGCCTAGTGGCCCTGCCCGATTATTTTGGAGTAACAATGCTTCTCCCGACATTCGGTATTGCTGCCACTTCTTCCTCAAAAGGTTTGTGACTCGCTGCATGCTCATATTGTGGATCCTTGCGCAAGATTCGTTTTCACCTTATGTTTCACACACTGGAACATCGTATTATGTTTCACTTTTTCACTCGCACACTATCCTTGTCTCACCCTGACATTTCTCGCAGCTTTCATTCGGCAGTTCGAGCGCATTTTGACCTATTGTCTCGTGACCCTCTCTACATCATGGCGTCCCAGGACCTGATCTCCCAATACAGCGCGGATATGAATGGAATTCCTCCTTCCCAGCCGGATCGCTCGCGCACACCCCCTCGTCATCCACATGGTTGGCACCAAGCAGTACCGGCGTTCCGTGGCCCGATGCACTATGCCATGACGCCCCATCGACCCTTTTGGAACCCATCCGGAATACCGCCTCCACCGCCTACGTCTCCATCGTTCCCAACACGCCCACCATGGACTTCGCCTACGGCACCTTTTCCGCCCACGCCGCCTCCGAGCTCACAGACACCCCCCAACAACGCCAGTTTTGCACCTCAACGTCACCCTTTTACACCGAGATCACCGAGACCTATGTCATCCCCAGGAGCTAGTTCTTCTGTCAACGAAGGATATACATGCAGACCAATTGAAATCCCACCAGTTGAGAATTGGAAACCTGATGTCGACTTCCACGACTCCAACAAGATCAATGGTTTGGACTTCCCTTCTAGAATCCGACAGAGCA